TCTCTCTCTCTCTCTCTCTCTCTCTCTCGGTGTCTGAGGGTCAACGCCACCCGCTAGCCAATAAAGTTCTTCATGGAAGGGGGGGGGGACTCTCGTGATCTAGAGGTACGGTGTTCCCTTTCATTCTATAGGTTCCGGGTTTGAAGCCTGACAGCGACGGAAAGTCTTCTTTTCTAAAAATGTTTCTTCTTTCCCCTCCTTTCTTGCCCTCTAACCATGTTCTGTCGTCTGTTTTCGTTTCCACTTTCTGCCCCCCCCTTTCCTCCTGCTCTGGGCTCCTGACTCTTTCTGTAGCCTGTGTACTGCTACCAATTGGCTCCTTCTTTTTTTGGCTGTCTTTTAGTCACACCCCTGATCTTTGGGTGGACAAAATCTGACACCTAGCCGTCCCGGATTAGGATGAAAAAATCTCAGAGGTCCCGTGTGCGAGTTTGCCCTCGTTAAAGATCCCTCGATGGTCGTAAAATCGACAAGTAAGCTTCGGCGGCCACCCAGCTCATCTCCACCACTCTTAGTGTACAGAAGACTGTTCCTCCTTTGCATGCTGCCAGTTTTGTCATCCCAATTTTCAGCATCACAAATTTCCACCTATTGTCTCTCATTTTTTAACCAGTTTGAAGAAATAAACTCCAAACTGAGTAGAAATGGCTGGTCCAAGCAGTAATAATTATAATAATCAATAGCATTTGTATGGCGCATAACCCCGCTCTACAGCAAGCTCTATACGCTTTTTCACTTTTACTAAATTATTTATTACCCTGGCAGACCATAAATCACCCAGAAACGTTCTCAGCTTCCTGGGAAGTATACATGACAGTGCAAGCAGCTGATTAAGCTATCAAACACTAACAAACCGACAAGACCTTTCCCTGTCTTTAGCTGGGTACCCATTCCCACCTGGGTGAAGTGAGGAAAATTCGTGTAAAGTGCCTTTCCCAAGGACACAACGTCGGGACCCACGACCTTACATTTGCGAGTCTGAGAATCTAACCATTAGGCCACCGACGCCACGGTCTGATTAATGATGGGATAAATTTAGTGAGGTTTTGTAGGTTTTGTTTTGTTTTGACTGTACACAGTCGAGCGGGAGAACTGGCGCAGCATATATAATAAGTTAGAATGGCTTACGTTTGTGTCAAAGCGCTGCCTTGCTTAGTGGGTGGTTGGCGGGTGCTCTGTATGTGGGTTCTCCTTCTTTCTTCACCCTCAGACGTATATAATGTATTATCCTGATCTCCCGCTCTTCTTTTCTATGACAAATGATAATAATTATTATTAAGAGCAATTTGGGTTACAATGGCAAACATACTTAACATAGAAACATACTTATAAATAAATACATTCATAAATACATACAGAAATACATACATACACAATATCACACCGATACAGAATAATTTCACAAACATGCCATTGCTGGTCGCCACTGTACAGTGCCCTATTTTTACTCTAATCTTGGACACTTATGTGACCTTTTTGTGCTGCCAGTGCCGTAAAACTCTTACTAAAACGAAATAAGCTAAAAGCCATGGTGGAGGCGATGAGATGAAATGGGCTCACGTTTTCGTCGTCTCGTCTTCGGCTCTTACAGTTGGCTGAGCCTCCTTCGCTCACCATTGTCACCGGGCGTTCACCTCGGTTGGCCAATCGCACGTCTCTCTCTCTCTCTCTCTCTCTCTCTCTCTCTCTCTCTCTCTCTCTCTCTC